GCATTAATTATTATCGATACATTATCAAGACAATATATTCCCAAGATAATAAAAATAAAATAAAAAATCAGTGGCGCTACCACCTTTTTAGGTCTGGGCCTCAGATTTCTGTATCTATTTCATGATCTTTTGTCAATCTAATAGAAAAGTAGATCAGCCTCCTGTACCTGACACAACCCTTCGAATTTTTGGGTCTAATCGTTTGAGTGAATCTTAAATGCGCAAATAGATCGAACCTACGACGGAATGAATTTCGCACGCTGAAGCCACTGGACCAACAGCACTTAAGATAATGTTTCATTTAATTGTTCATAGCTTACACATAATATATTTTTTTAATAAAAAAACAATGGTTACTTACCAAAATATTATATTTAAAAAGGTCACTAACTAATGTTTAAAAGAAATTTTTTCGCTATATAAAATTGTGATAACCATATATACTTTTATTAATCGCCCTTTAATCGTGTTTTCCCGTGACTCATGCTCTTTTCTACTCATCATTAGGTAAACTCATGCTAACTAATCGTTTTGTATGAATGATTAGGTTACCCTTATAGTAGAATATTCTTATCAGTTAGCCAGAATAATTAAAAAAAATATTGAAAATATCTGTTGTATTCCATACAAAACAAAGTTTTTTATAATTTACCAATTATTTATTTTTAAATAATTAGATCACTTTAAAATATGTTGACTAAACATACCTTTAGAACATACTAGTTATATAGGTATTTTATAAATGTGTGAACTGAAATATACAAATTTGCTCACTGCGAGAGATTTTTTTATGTAATAGGATACGTACGGGCAGGAGGCACACCTGATGTTGAGTGATACACCCATTGACATTGCCAGAAGGCTTGCAAGTGCGTTGCTGGTCTTTTAAGAACGACGCTCTTTTCTTGAAGGACCCAAGATTATGACGAAAGATGGACATGAAAGTTAAAGTACTATTTTCTGATTGTCCCTAACATTTATTTTTTAAAATATAACACGCCATTTGCACGTGTATTGTTTGAGATTTTGAATTATAAAATATATGTAAAAAATTAAACGGTCTATTAATTAAGCCATAAACATTATCATAAACTTTACCTGTAATCGCATTAAATTGTTTGACTTTACATAAAACGGATTATCAGTAATATAAATAACCACATGTTCTTATTCAATTTGTATCAACAAGTACTCGAGGGATATCAGCAAAATTGATAAAACGTAACATTGTTATCTAATGATGGATAAATATCCGAACTTTATCGTTTATACACGATTTTCGAATAGCTATATAATTCTATTTCAAACGGGACGTTTTAATATAACTTTTTGAAGTTATACTTCTATAGGCGCGTTATGAAAAATTTATGAGAGTGAAGTTTTACGATGCGCGCGCACCGTGACACAAAATTAACAGAATGAAGTTGCCCACCGAAGATGCTACGGCATTGGACATAATTTAAAAGCAACATACGAATAATAATAAATATTTTTTTATTTAATTTTTCAAATGTAAACTATAATATAATGTAACTATAATGACTCCTTTTCCAGTCTTTGATTATTTAATTGTAATTAATGCCAAAGAAGTATAACTTCTAAATAATTGATGCTGGCATTAAATTTCGATAAGTTTTTTGATATCTCCATAGACATATCTGCATCTAATTCATTAGTCTCATTTTATTCTGCATAGCTTGTGTTTAACATATGTCGTTTCTTGGATCGGTTTCCTCGCCATGTCTTTCTTCACCGCATTAGCAACACAATGTAATGGGCATAGGAAGAAAAACCCATTAACGGGGTTAGAATACACAGGCTGACAACTGAGCGTTTTTGCTGCACACCACCACTGAACTATTTCCGAACTCGAAATTCAAGAAAAGAGCGTACCAATTCTAAAAAGGCCGACAACGCACTCGCGAGCTCTATGGCATTGAGAGTGTGACTTAACATCAGATGAGCCTCCTGCCCATTTGCCCCCTGTTCTATACAAAAAAAAATATAGGTAAATTTGTAAAACAAAATATCTTTAATATGTTTTTCTTTTCTCGCTCCACGCTGTTGCTTATTTAACATTTGCACTTCACCATTATTTTTTTTAATTTAATTCATTTCCTGGCAGGCAAGTACTGTTATTTTAAATTACCTTTGATATCGTTTTAAATCATGCATTACGTCACAGTATTAAATCAAATACTTTGTATATTTTTCCACGTGTTATTTTATTGTCTAAAACGGTTAATTTATTATTTCTAGAGTTATTTTTGATTATTAAAAGAAATTATTGATTATGTTACTTATTACAATGTTCATATTCCTAAATGTTGCTGAAATGTATAAGTTCGCCGAATAAAAACAAAGAAGTAAAGAAAAATTATTTTTATTAACAATAACTCGATTGTTTTTCCAAATTTAATTGAAATGAACAGAAATAATAAAGGTTACTCTTTATATTGACCTTCATACATTTCTCATATAAGGTTTTTTTAAAGTAACATCAATAACATGAATCATTTTTCGTAATATGTAACAAGTTTTGTGATGATGGTGATTGATCGATACTCGATATGTATGTGTTTTAAAAAGAAATTGATAATACATCGCTTGCCCCGTGGAACCAAGTCTTAAAAGCAAAATCTATTTTGTTCAGGAAAAATAAAAGTTTTTGTTATTATTAGTAGGATACAAACTACAATACATGTACAACTATATCAAATACCAGTAGACTCGGCCAAGCGTTGCTGTGGCTAAGATTTTTAAGAGAAAAGGCAGGAGAACACCAATCCACCATGCTTTTTTGGTGGTTATGCCATTAAATTGTAGCTTATGTGAAACGTTGGTAATTTTTTTGATAATGATCAATACCTAGGTACGAATAAAGAGCCTTTTCTAGCGGTGGTATTTTAATAAAAAAAAATTAATAAAAGGACGCTTATTGTGACGTAACTATAAAAGATAGAGACATGCAGTCGCGACATTTTTTATAGATAGTGATGTGTCCTAAAAAATTGGATAATATAATTTTGTTCTATCATTAATAGTTTTCGCAGCGCACACGATTGAAGGAAGTTTTTTGTTTATTTTTTTACACCTTGGGTTAGATTATTCAAGTTTTAGTAAGCATCCCTATTTTTTTTTGAAAATGAAACATAGCCTATGTCACTCGGGAATAGTGTAGCTTGCCAACGGTGAAAGAATTTTTGAAATCGGTCCAGTAGTTTCGGAGCCTATTCATTTCAAACAAACAAAAAATCAAACCTATAATATAAAAAAATATCAAATAAAAGCTTATTCGACGATTTAAACATTGTTGTTATGGATTTAGTGTAAATAGTTAAAAAATAACTAAATATATATTACAGTTATTCATCTAATCAGACTGAAGAGCAAAAGCGTTTACGATTGTTACACTGTTTAAACATAATTACGAACGACACAGTAACCGCACATTACGACGGCACATTTTGACAAATGTTTAGAACCTAATAATCTATTACCGCTCTTTTCGCGGAAATATTACGACCTTGGTGAAACAGGGATATATTATTACCACTTTTTATTCGTTTTTAAATGGTCGCATTACCTTTTATGATTATTTGGTAGAATTATAGTCTAAACTAAAACTATCTTTATGGTTGTTGCGATCTATTTCAGGGGAGGTAAAATTAGGAAAACAAGTATTACTAACATTGTGCACAAAATAATTTCCGTAGAATCATCCTCGTATTTTTTTAATAGTAAAATGTTTTGCAAGTTTCTGAAAAAAATTACAGTTTTAGTATAGTATATCACCCAAGGATGTCAAAAATTAGAAAACATTAAAACAGTCGTAATAGTTGACGGCTCATTGGTCTAGTGGTTAGTACCCCTGACTGCGAATCCATGGGTCTCGGGTTCGATCCCCGGCTGAGATAAACATCGATGTGGTGAGCATTTGGTGTTGTGCTTAGGTCTTGGGTGTTTAAATATGTATTTATATGTCTATCTATCTATAATATGTATGTATATCCGTTGCCTAGTACCCATAACACAAGCTTCACCAGCTTAGCATGGGACTAGGTCAATTGGTGTGAATTGTCCAATAAAAAAAAAAAAAAAATATAGTGCTTTACCACTGTGTTGCAAGCGATAGCCACTTAAAATATATAGAGAATAAGATATGGAAACTATTCAACTGAGTTTAATGTTTTTAGTCTACTCGTTTCACATATTTAATTTGTTTTAAGTTCAGGGCAAAATTCATGTCAGTTATTGAATGCAATGTCGAAGTAATTCTCTCAATATCCGTAGCGCTGATGTTGCAAAATTGAAGTCAGGATTCGCTATCACTATTGGAAGTTACGTACCGAGGCTTATGCAGAATTAAGACCTTTATTAATAAATAAATGATAAAGTAAGACAAACTATGAGAGATCAAATCCATCTTTTAGTCGATACCAACTCCGGGGAAATAAATAAAGATAATGCAACTTTTTCTACAGCTGTGATACTTTTTGACATCCAACACCTTTTGTGTTCAGTCACCGTGACCACGCACGCTGTAAAGCACGCGAAACGTCGGATAAATTTAAAATTATGTTAAATAATTGTAAATTTATAATAATACATAACTTTAATACGGTTAAAAAGTTTTTTCTTTAAATGTATAAAGGTAATGTCAATAAAAGAATATTGTTATAGTATACGGAATAACTTATAAGTAAAACTATTCCTTGGCGGTTTAAATGGAAGTTGAAAGTTTGAAGAACTTAGAACTTACCTAATGTTCTTAGCAGCCTTAATAACTTAATAGTCAGTTCCTTTAATTACTTGTACTTGGTTGTTAATCGGTAGAATATACTCTTAATTAAATAAGTTAGTATAAGTCTATATAGCTACTGAAATTATAATTAATTAAAATCACTTACGATGTTCGTGGATATAATTAAAGCAAATACATTTGCTGCAGATTAATAGTACTTATAATAATAACCATACTGTAGGTATTTAATTACCTATTAAAGACTACTAAATAATAAGAAATAGCACCTTTCAAAGAAAACATCTGAGCCATCTGAATCGCTGCGAGGTAATATTAGTTTGGGTAAAACCATTCCTTTCTTTCGCCTGCCCCGAATTCCTGAGGGCGCCGGCCATTGTAGTTCACTGGTTGCCATCGGGCTATGTGGGCTTAAAATAGTTAGTCGCCTCTCAGGCGGGGGCAAGCTTAGCTGTTGTAAGGCGCGCCGCTCCGTACTTGCGAACAAACCTCGTCGCTTTTCCGCATTCCCCATATCCTCCCCAGAGAGAGCCCGACGTGCTGGCGCCCCTCTCGTTTCGCGGACATCTCTTTCGCTAGCTGTTAGAAATGAGCTGCGATGAATGCGAACAGATGTACACGAGCTGGCAGGGCGCGCCGGCGACGAATCTTTACTTGGACGGAGACTCTCCATTGATCGTGCAGTTTCTACGCGCGCAGCTGCCAAGTACTGACCACTTGTTATCGTTGTCTGCGCTACCTCACATTCCTCCTGACTAGAACTAGAAGTACCACTTCGCGAGAATGTGCTGGTTTTTGATACAAAGCTTCTATCACTAAATTGTGCCGCTGATATGCTAGAGGTGTTCGCATCGGTTGACTCAGCAGACGCCTGCTTCAGAACTACACCTTCCTCTAAAGAAGAATGAACGACCCGAGTGTTAAGCGAACTAAAAGCGGCGAGCTTTGGTCGCCAACCCTTCCTTTCATCTTCATCTTCCTCCATTTCTACAAATTTCCTAACTACACGGTCACCACACTAATACACCATTTAAGATTTGATACATTTATTGATTAAAAACTTATAATAAATTTAGAACATAGAATAAGGAACACTGTACACAGTCTTTATCACTCCACAAGAGCACCACTTCATTCAAACGGCACCTGTAACAAAAGGCAGGCATTATAAGTATCAATTCAATCAAATAAAATTGTAAAATTTCGTAAATCCACGATTCAACTCGAACTACGAAAATAGTTATGGTTATTATAAACTTTAACACGCTTACGCGAGTGTCAACATAAATGCAAATTAACCTTACATGAGTTAATTGGCTGCTTTAGAATCAAGCGCGAGTTGGCCCGCCTCATTTGCACACTCCGTCAGGGCTTTAAGTTGGTCCGCATTCAAACCAGACGCCTTCACCCTAACATCTGCACTTTTTGAATGTTCTTTGCTCTCGCTACTCGATTCAACACTCTTTGTTGTTTTATTCCCGAATTGATCGATGAATGTTTCTTCCTCATACTCTTCTTCGTAGCTCTCTTGGTATGACTCGCGGAATTCCTGTCGAGCTTGTATGCTAACGGTTCCTGTCGTATTTTTCTCTTGAATCATTTGATCCATGGTCTGTTTGACCAGTTGTTGGCCGGCTTCCAAACGCTCAGACATTGTTATGTGGGTTATCTAAAATTGTTAAATATTTTTTAGTTTTAAATAACTTGTTTGTCATGTAAAACTGTCAAAATTAATTGGAATTATGGATCGAAAACTTCTAAAAGATATATAAACGATAATTCATTACAAAGGATTTTATATTGATATAAAGAAATTGCGACAGTTGGATTATTGCCAATTCCGTTTCGCAATTTTGATTTGTTTGATGTGTACAAAAATATTAACTTTATGAGGTATGTTCTATACAGCGTTCTCGAAAAGTTTTTATTCTCGAAATAATGTGCTGTTTGTTTTTTGTTGATTGATGTTCTAGAAAAGCCCGGGAATGTATCGTTTACAACGCAGTAAATAACCTTGAAGAAACTTCACAATTGTTCTTAAATTTCATTTACGGTAATTACACTCAAATATTTAAAACAACTTGTTAGCGATTGTTAAAGTTGTTGAATAGCCATAGATTAAAATACGATTAGCATACCGATAAAGGCGTAAAAAAATGGGAAAACGATTTTCGTTTTGGCTTTATTTCAATCACGTTTCAAAGCGGAGTTTCACAGAAAATGACACGAGTTTAAATTATTCAAAAAAGGAATTTAAAATCGAACTATAGCTATACCTGCAGTTAACTGTAGTTTCACTAAATCACTTTTTATTTATTGGTAGAACTTATTCAATGGAAAGCTCGCGGTGAACTGAAGAATCGTTTCGTCTTTGTTTCGCGTTGAAACTTTGCGTAGGCGTCGTAACGTCCAGTCTGCGCCCGCGCCGAAATAACTACATGCGCTGGCAAATTAGCTGAATCATGTAATTAATTCCAATTTTGACAATTACAATTATGAACGATACCAGGAAATTGCAATAAGATTGACGTAGTGATTGGGATATCGTTGGCGGTTCGCCGTGTTATACAGCCAAGATTCGTAGTATCTTAACGAAAATAATTATTATACTAAAGTATTTTATAGTGACATATAATGAACGATGCTACTATATAAGTCGAAATCAAATATAGTATATTTATCGAAATTTTCAATTGTATATTTGACAGAGGTGTAAATTTTTAAACAGTAGGCGGGGCCTTATCTTTATAAGCAAATGCGAATAAAACGAACATAACTTTATACATACCTGTCAGTATCATGATCGTGACAGCTTATATTATCTATGTACCCTTAATTCCCTTTTATATCATTTAATATATGTAAAATAATATTATTTATATATCTTAACTGAGACGGCTTTTAAACTTATTACGTTGTTTCGAAAAATCAATTGCTTTAGTTGTTCAGGTATTTTTGAGTTTAATTTTTTAATAGCCTCGTATCAATGTCGAAAATAATTTTGACTTTTTAACGATAATTTTTTGTATATAAATTTGTAATTACGTTTTAAATGCAGTACCTTGTATGCGTCAAAAAACGCAGATATGAGAGGCGATGACGCGTCAGCGGTAAACAAAAATTATTGGCAAAGATTCATGTGAGTCACTCTATGATTCCTCCTTAATGGAATTCGATAGTCATGTACGTCATTTAACTAGCAAAAATATGTACATACAGATATAGCACTTCATGTACTGTCAGACTGGGATGGTATAAGTGCCAGAATTGATAGCGCACCTATTTTTTTGTAGAACAAACGCGCTTTTTTTGTCAACTGTTGTTAAGTGATACTGCCCATGGACACTCAATGCCAGAGGGCTCGGGAGCGCGTTTCCGGCCTTTTAAGAATTGGTACGCTCTTTTCTTGAAGTCGTAAAGTCGAATTGGTTCTAAAATACTTCAGTGGGCACCTGGTTCCACATAATTGTGGTGCGCAACAAAAACTGCTTTAAAAACAGTCAGTTGTAGATAGATATTAACGGTAAATAGAGAATATGTCAATAAATAGTTTCCGATTTGCATTATAATATATTGTATATTTTAAAAGGCAAAGGATATCTAAACAACCCAATTTTGATTGTTATTATTACTCAGTTTTTATTATTTCATGCTCATCACGAAACCAACTGATTGCATATATACTTACACATCCCAACTTTTATATAAAAATAATATATATAAAATTAAGTAGATACCTTTAACCTAACTTATATTATATATATAATAATTTCTGGTATATAGGAAGATGCACAGATAACAGGTGGACTTTAAAGACAACAATATTGAAAGGACAATGAGGAAGAAGATGAGTCTGCTCTATAAAAAGTAGGATAGAAGATATCGAAGCAGGTAGCGAATCGAGGAAGAAAGCCATGGATAGAGAGGTTTGGAAAAAGCTAGAGGAGTCCTTTGCCAGTAAGTTAGGAAATTTTTATACAATAATGTATATATAACAAATCAAAACTGTATATTCAATATTTGTAAAGATTGGAAATAAACCGGCTTTATAATAAGACACTAAGTTTGAGCTTTGACTTCGATAATATAAAATACATATTAAGGTCTTAAGAATAGTCATAAAAACAATATGGAGGTATTAAGATCATAGATACTACTACATGGCTAGTTTTAGCGGTGAGAGCTTTTTGAAAGCTTACTGCAATCCGTATATTGACAAAGGGGAGACTGTTACAGTTGAATATAGCTGTAACGATGTAGCTGTGCATTCACTGAAACGCTCAATAACGACGGTCTGAATGGCTCAACGGTCTAAACTCCAAAATTCATACATTGTATTAACGTAGAAATTTGTATGGTGGTCAATTAATTATAATTTAAATTCTACCTTCGATTTTATCGATGTTTAGATTATAATAGGAATAAGTATTTATTTATTGTTGAGTAAGATTATGATTGAGAGAAAACAAGATTTTCAATTTAAACTATAAAATGTCTTGTTATATGAAACTGACTAATACATTTATTCATTTAAATATTAAAATATATTATTAAAAGGAGTCCCTTTAGGCAAGGTTCCGAAGATACTGGCAGCTTTCCCCCCTTGAATCGCTAGACTAATTCTTTGTCCGAGGTAGCTGCCAGATCTTCGGTCTCCTGTTATGTCGACTAACCTTTTTGATATGTCTTTAAAAAGCCTTAAAGCGCTAGGACCCCACGGACCAAGGGTCTCGACACCGAATGGACATCCAATTATAACAATATCCAATACGTACCAGCCCAACAATCTCTTTTTATTTAAATCAGTGTAAAGAGTGAGGTTAGTCGACATGAAAAATTAAGACACCAGTGACGCTTTAAACCTTTGGATGACACGTATCTGTTTTAGTAATGTATATTTTTATAGATAAATGACTAACACACACAGCGTTCGACCCACTTCGTCGTTTAACAAGCTTAACAAAACAAGCAAGTCCATGAAACGCACATAACAAGATACATGTATTTCCTACAATTGTGTAATACAAGGCTTATGTGTGTTTGAAATATTAATGAGACAGCTATGTTAAAGTTCGCTAACCGAGTGTTCGCCTTGATGTCAGTCATATTGCGGTGCTTATATCAATTTCTTTAGTATAAGATCCCGATATACAACGACCTTCACCGAGATGCTTATTTAATGAAACGTATTTTATATTTAATTTAATATGTCAATAAATATAATCCATATGGGTTGCCTAGCAAATTTCAGTCCAGAATATGTTTAATTAATATTTAAAAAAAAAATTTTTTTATAATTTGCATGTAGTAAATTTTTTTAATTTTTTTCAATCAATATTTTTAATCAGGGTAGTATTATATATGTATCACTATAACTTTCTTTTTTACTAAAGATGTATATATACTTTAGTGTCACATAAAAAATATACACATAAATAATTAATTGATTAAAAACAACCTAACGTTTGCATATTCTATGGGCTTCATACTTTCGATTGGTATAGAATTTATCTAATAATCATACCGGTGAAATGTTTAAAAAAATATTTTTTTTTTTAAATTAATTAAAATACTCTGGACTGAAATTTGCTAGGCAACCCATATGGATTATATTTGATGACATATTAAATTAAATATAAAATACGTTTCATTAAATAAGCATCTCGGTGAAGGTCGTTGTATATCGGGATCTTAGACCACTTTGAACAAATAAATTTCAGTCATGTTTTAACAAAATTGAAATTCACCTTTTCAAGTTCATTCTTTCGTTTTAATTCTAATTTTGATGAGCGCATGTATTGATTGAAACAGCAGTTTCTTTTCTCTTGAACGTCTTGCTTAAGTTGAAATTAAAGTTGACGAATACACAATTCCAAAATCAACTAAGAACATGTTAAATGTGTAGGTACTTAATAGTCAATAATTTTCTGACGAATTCAACAAAATGTTTATAATTTATTTTCATGAGCGAAGTTTAGACTTTATTTATAACTTTAATATTTTTGAAGTTATACTTCTTTAGGCGCGTTATGAAAAATTGATGAGAGTGAAATTTTACGATGCGCGCGCACCGTGACACAACATTATTAGAATGAAGTTAGTGGCGCATGTTGGCACGCACGCCGCCTCTGTTCACTGTGTATTTATATTTATAATATTTATCCACATGCTTTGAGTTTCTACATTTAAAACACGTGTTTTCATTTTGTTTTCATTATACAAGTGCGAATTTTATATGTGCGTCTGAATTATAATCAGAAGTGATTTAAATTGAATATTTAAATCAATACTAATTAATATTAGAAAAAAATAATAAATGTAAAAATAATATTAATAAATATTTATTTATTTAATTTTTAAAATGTAAACTGAACGTAATTGACTATAATGACTCCTTTTATAGTTTTTGATTATTTAATTGCAATTAATTGTTTGCATCCAATCAAAAACTTTTTTGAATAATGCCAAAGAAGTATAACTTCTTACGCGCGTACATAAGTACGCGCACCCTTTTTTTTGTTACTGTCATATGAATGGACTAGCATTTAATGATACTATATTATAATCGTAACCTAATAACCATTAAAATTAAATAAATGGAACACTAAATTTTCAATATTATTATTAAATTATGGTTATATCAAAATTATTGTA